TCTGGGACATTGCGGCAGACCACGTGAGCGCGAAGCCTCCCTCGGACTGAGGAGCATCTGTGAGCCCCCATATGCCCCAGCGTCCCTCCCTGGAAACTGGGCATCAGGGGGGATCGGCTATCCAGCCGGGAGAGGGTAAGAGGTGCAGACATCGAGGCCCGTCCTGGGGCAGGCATGGCACTATTCGTCAACCAGAAATCGCTCCCCTGCTCTCTGCACTTGCACCCCACATCCAGAAAAAGGCCATTCATAATTTCTTACGTTGGATATAAATTTTTTAGTAGTTTTATCTTTTTGCCATCCGTCATTTCCCCCAACAGCTACTTCTGTTGTGAGATGTTGTGAACGCTGCCCTTCAAATCCCAAGTGCTTGTCCTCAACGTGGCACAGCCTCTGCGGGCTTCCCGGGGCCATCAGAGCGAGAGTGGAGGATGCTGCCGCTGGAAATGACAGCGACTCCGCTGGGAACCCTGGCTCTGAGCAGCTATAAACTTTTCATGTCGCTTTCAAATGCCACGGACTGAGTCGCTTTAAGGTGGCCACAACCTTGCTTCCATAGCCACACAAGGCAGGTCTCCCGGATTTCTTCGGAGCAGAAACTGACCCGAAACACGTTTAGCCTCCAAACCTGCCAAACTTTTCCTGCAGACACCCACCCTGTCGGACGCATATTCACCCGATAGCTCTTCAATATAACGCCACTTGATCTTTGATGGTACCATGAAATCTACAACCTCAGTAGTAACTTACAGGCCCCCAGGCCTTTGGAGTCATTCCAGAAGCATCTGCGATGGGACCAGACAAGCCTGCCTGCAACTTTCCAGTCAAGCCACCAGACCTGTACTTAGCAAGGAATTAAATAAACCCACCGTATCCCCTGTCTGACTAGGGCTTCCCCTCTCACATTTTCCTAGATCCATGCCATCACAGCCAAGTCCTAGATCAGAATCAATGCCCTGTCATTCATTAACGTACTGGTTCGGGAAATAGTTTACACGCTTGGCTCAAAACATGGTCCTCACCACGCAGGTGGCAGCGTGCACTGAGGATGCCGGTTGAGATGCAGAGGTGAAATGGAGTGTCTGCAAAGCCATGTTAAGTTCACAGCCAAATTGAAGGGAAGTACAGAGATGTCCCATATGCCCCCTGTCCACCCACATGCACAGTACCCTGCCCACACTATCTACATGCCACACCAAAAGGGTACCTTTCTGAGAATCTATTAGCCTGTGTTGACACAGCACTATCACCCAAAGGCATTAGGGTTCACTCCTGCTATTGTACATTCTATGGGTTTGGACAATAGTGTGTCCATCATTATGAGTATTTTCGCTGCCCTCAAAATCCTCTGCCCTGCTGATGTATCCCTCCCTCCCCTCAGTTTCTGGCAATTACTGATCTTTTTACTGTCTCCTTAGTTTTGCCTTTTCCAGTGTCAGTGGTTAGAATTGTACAGTAGGTAACCTCCTCACATTGGCTTCTTTCACTGCCTAACAGGAATTTAAGGTTCCTCCATGTCTTCTCATGGCTTGCTAGCTCATTTCTCTTTAGCATTGAATAAATATTCTATTGTCTGGATGTACCACGGTTTTTCCATTCACCTACTGAAGGACATCTCTGTTGCTTTCCGCTTCGAGCAACTATGAATAAAGCGTCTATAAACATCCATGTGCAGGTTTTTGTGTGGACATACGTTTTCAACTCCTTTGAGTAAATAACAAGAAGAGTGATTGCTGGAGCACTTGTAAGGTTGTTTAGTTTGGTCAGAAATCGCCAACATGTCTTCCAAACTGGCTGCACCGTTTTGCATTCCCACCGGCAGGGACTGAAAGTTCCTGTAGCTCCACATCCTCCGCAGCTGAAAGCTCAGGATAAAACGTCTTCAAAGAAAAACAAGGTGTATTATACATTCTGGGGAACAATTAATCCATCTCACAGCTGATTTCTCACCAGAAACCATGTTAGCGTCCTACTGCTGTCATAACAAATTACCTCAATTAAATTAATTTAGAGGCTTAACAACACTCATTCATTATCATACAGTTAGCTAGTCCAGAGGTCCAGGCAGGGAGTGGCTTGGCTGGCCCTCCCGGAGCCTCGCAAGGACGAAATCAGAGGTCAGCGAGGCTGCACTCCTTCCTAGAGCTGCTAGGGATGAATCCGCTTCCAAGCGTGTTCAAGCCATTGGCGCCATCCAGCTCCATGTACTGCAGGACTAAGGTCCACCTAAGCTGTAGGCCAGTGATGGCGAACCTATGACACGCATGTCAGAGGTGACACGTGAACTCATTTTTTTGGTTGCTTTTTCTTTGTTAAATGGCATTTAAATATATAAAATAAACATCAAAAATATAAATCTTTGTTTTACTATGGTTGCAAATATCAAAAAATGTCTGTATGTGACACGGCACCAGAGTTAAGTTAGGGTTTTTCAAAATGCTGACACGCCGAGCTCAAAAGGTTCGCCATCACTGCTCTAGGCAGTGGGCTGCATGCCTTGACCCCGCTCCTCTCCCCATCTGCAAAGCCAGCCATGGCGGGTCAAGTCCCACTCATGCTTCAAATCTCTCACTTTAACTTCTGCCTCCCCTTCCTGCCTCCAGTCTGCAAAGCCCCATATGCAGTGTAAAGCAACATTTCACAGGGTTGAGGGAACAGGGCATGTTTGGGGGCCATTACACTAAATAGCACCGAAATGATGAAGGACAAAAGGACGTGGGAACGCCATCCTTGAAGTGCTAAAAGAACAAACCTGTCAAATTAGAATGTAAATGGACTAAGCTCCCAAGATGTTCAGATTAAATAAAAATTAAGAAGCTTTATGCGATTTACATGAGTCTCACTGAATACATAAGAGTAAGAACCATTGAGAATAAAAAAAGATGAAAGATGTATCTCAAATATAAAGCAATGGTAAGACTGATGCAGCCTATAACAGCATTGACTAAACAGACTTTGTTGTGGATAGAATGTTTGTGTCTCTCCAAAATTCTTACATTGAAACCAAATTTCCAATATAATGGTCTGGGAGGAAGGGAGCTTTGGGAGGTGATGAGGTCATGAGGGTGGAGCCCTCATGCATGAAATTACTGCTCTTATAAAAGAGGTCCCACGGAGTTCCTCACCCCTGCCCATCCTGTGGGGACACAGCAAGTGTGTGAGGTAAGTCTGGAAACCTTCCCTGCCTCTTGCACAAAATAGACCAAATCCTGTTGAGTCTAATCATCTACTTTCCCTCCATCTGCATGGCCCCTAACCCAGTTGAGTCTATCATTGTCTTTTACAGAAATTACTATCACAGCCTCCTAATTAAGCCCCCGGCTCCCATCTTACACCCCTTGAATATATCCAAAGTCAATGATTTCCACCTCAATTTAATTATAAAATTCCATTGGGTTAAAATCATATAAACAAATATATCCATCCATCCCTCCAGAAAACCCTTCCATGGAGGCCCACTGCTCCTTTGAATCAAGTTCCACACATTTCCCAAGACCTTTCACCATGTGGCCTCCCAGCCTTGACCTTCCTAAGCATTCTTTCCCTCAAAAGCACCTGCTCCACATGTCAACCTTGTGAACTTCCTCTGGTTCCTCACACATCACATTCACCCTCTTCCTCCCAGCTTTACCACATGTTCCTGCTGCATGCAACACTACTTCCCATCCGCTTCTCTGGAGTCGCTCAGACCTTGCCGTGAGCTCATCCCCCAAGTCTGGGCTATGTTCCCCTCCCCTGCGCTCCCCCAGTTCACCGTGTCCATTATCCTGAGGCCAACCACGTGCCACTCTGCACCTCTTTGTTTTCTTGCTGGAACCTCACCCCCGGCTTGTGAAGCAGCCCCGTGTCTAGGATGCAGTGGACACCAACAACTATCTGTTGTATAAAATGAGAGAATGAGGAAACCCATTGTCTGGCGGCTTTAAGAGGACAAAATTTCTATGAATTATGTCTTTTATCATATTTTGGAACTTGTAACTTATCAGGAAAAGATGCTATTTGTCAGACTAATGGATTTTTAATGCATTTGTCAAAGGGATGAGACTTTTTAAATATTTATTTCTCCTGTCAATAGCAAGAAGGAGGAAACATGTTTTTCACTCTAAGAATATTTGTGTTGCGTTATTAGTTAGTACGGGGGGATTTTATTTGTTTGCAAACTAAGAACATTGTATAACTCTGTAAGTTGTAAAACAATGCAATTCAAGAATTTAAATTTTATTTAGAGCATATAGACTTTCACTAAATATACATGTATCTTAATCTCAAGAGCTAATTACAGTATACCATAAAAAAATCTTTTATGATTCCTTCATGTCATTCACAATGTTTTATTCCACATTAATCCAAGTAAGATATTGTGTACAGAAGAAAATACTTAAGGAAGATTAGGAATATTCAAGTTTCTTGTTGATATGCGTGAAGATATGGTACAAAAGCAATTCAGTAATTTTCCTACTATGCGCACTATGGAGGCAGTCATAAAACAGATGTACCCGTGAGTCTGCTGGTCATCAGTGGGCTTAGGGAAGGTGGGTGCTTGTATAAAAACAAACCACCGGGGTCTGGATTGGCAGGTGAGGGGTGGGTTTGGCTAGGACAGTGGTCGGCAAACTCATTAGTCAACAGAGCCAAATATCAACAGTACAACGATTGAAATTTCTTTTGAGAGCCAAATTTTTTAAACTTAAACTATATAGGTGGGTACATTGTTATTAACTTAATTAGGGTACTCCTAAGGCTTAGGAAGAGCCACACTCAACGGGCCAAAGAGCCGCATGGGGCTTGCAAGCCGCTGTTTGCCAACCACGGGGCTAGGAAGACCTGAGACCCTCCTTTTGACTCAGAGAATCCTCACCTGCCGACCCAGGGGATGGCTAGTGCCTGCGGCACCGTACGCCACCTCCATACACTGAGGGTCTATAGAAGGCGACCTGAGAACATAGGGAAATGCCAGTAAATTCAACATCAGGTTCCAGAGTGTGTATTACAATACACTTTCCAGTAGCAAGGATGAAGAAGACCTGAGACCCTCCTTCTGACTCAGAGAATCCTCACCTGCCCACTCAGGGGATGGCTACTGCCTGCGGCACCGTACGCCACCTCCATACACTGAGGGTCTATAGAAGGCGACCTGAGAACATAGGGAAATGCCAGTAAATTCAACATCAGGTTCCAGAGTGTGTATTACAATACACTTTCCAGTAGCAAGGATGAAGGAGGAGGCTGCACAAACCTGAAAAAATGCAGGAAACTTTCCCCCCGGTTATCGGGATACATAAGGATTTGGATAAAGAAAACGATGGGTGTGGGCCATTTCCCAAGGAGGGGAAGGCCATGGTCACCTGTGCAGGGACAAGAAGGTCGGCACAGAGGACAGGGGGCAACCTTTGTCCATGCAGACAGAGGGATGTGTGGGAAATTGCCTCACTCACTTCCTTCTCAATGCACTTGCCACTCCTACAAAAAATCCCCAAACACAAAAGCTGAACACATTAAATCACCTCTTCTTTTCTGTCATCTAGAGAGATGTTACAATCAAAGAAATAAATGTGAATATTGCCTGTGATGTTCATAAAAGGATGATCAAGTGGCATGCACACAAACATACAAGCAAACAACCCTGCAGCTGTTAGAATTTTCCTACTGCCCAAGGCAAGAGAGACATGTCAGGGACTCCGTCACGTGTGGGTGCACACGTACAGTGCGATTGAAACTTGGT